TGACCTGGTGCTTATGCAGAGCCCAGGAGCCATGTGGGATTTACGCATTTGGGCGGAGGGTGGGAGAGGCGACCTTCAGACAAGCAGGGAAGACGGGCGGTGCATGTGCCCGCTGACTGTGAGCAGGAGCACGTGGCCCGGGAGATCAGCAGTGATCGGTTCCCTTCCATGTGTGCCCCCTGCCATGGCCAGGCCAAGCAGCCAGTGGGGGCAGTTGCTGAGATGCGGGGGACTCGTTTCCAGTCTCACACACCTCATGTGTGTGACTCAGCTGGGAAACACTTAGCAAACCAAACCAACGTGGAGCCCGAGTGGGCGCCGGCTCAGTATTTCCCCTCTCTGGTTTTATGCACCTTTGCCATTGTGCAGCAGATTTGGACTTGGAAGTGCTGAGCTTTACAGTTCTTTGGGTGCCCTGTGAAAGCCATTCACGGTGGTGCCACGGAGCTCCCGCCTGTGGCAAGATGGCTTCTCTCCAGAACCAGAGCACAGGCAGCAACTTCCCCAAAAGACGCCATGATCCTGGCATTTTCATTAAAAATAGTTACTAGGGAATCTCTTCAAACATGAAATGCTTACAAAACTCTGGCTTCAGTATAACAGAATACAAAATGCTGTGTGAGTTTTCTAAGTGGGTCCAGGACTTAACAAGGCAGCCGCAAGGGCCGGTGAAAGCACGTCTGTGTGTCCCTTCTCCCTGCCTCCTCCATCAAGTCACTGTCCATGCTCTGAAGTCTGCCAAGCCCGCAGCCTCTCCCCTCCATGCTCTGATCTCTCCTGACTGTGGGGCCACATGCTTCCTCAAGCCCCTCCTGGAGCGCACTCCTCCATCAGCTGTGCCTCAGTGGCCCCAGGGAACAGATTCCCGGATGCTGCCCCCTAGCAACGGGTGACCCGGGTTTGTGCACATCTCCTTAGGAAGTGTGGGTAGCCTGCTGGAGTCTCCAGGGACTGAGTGCCCTGAATGAGGAGGGGCCAGGCCAGAGGGGCAGTGGTGGGGCCCGTAAGCCACAGAGGTGATGAAAGAACAGCACACACCGCTGGGCTCAGCCCATAGCAGCAGCATACAACTTTCACTGTCTATACCAGAAACACCTGTGGGGGACACAGGCCTGGGCAGGGCCAGAGGCACTGGAGGAGGGGTGCAGGAGGGACTTGAGGGGCCAGCGGATGTGTACACACATGACTGCGCGTGCCTTTGTGTCTGGTGTGTGTTGGGGAGAGAATGGGTGGTGGTCATGTGTGTGCTGGGTGGGTCACTGCCCACCAGGAGGCCCAGCCAGGATGGGGCGGTGAAGCCATGTGGACAACGTTAGAAGAAGTGTACAGTGGTGCAGAAGCCACGTCCATGCCTCTGCCTTATACCTTGGTGGCTGTGTTGGTGTGGCCTGCCCTGAAATGGGGCTGGGAGCATGAGGCTGTCTGCCTGAGATGACCTCTCTCCTGCGCTATACCATAAAGCCTCCAGGTGCCAGGCTCGCAGCCACACATTTCAGAAATCACAAGAATGTTGGGGCGGCAGAAGGTCATGATAGCCTGTAGAATCCTTGGTAACTCACCAGAACAGTGCCGTGGTGAGCGTCAGCAGTTCTGCGGGTCGGCAGCGGAGGCGTTAGAACAGTGACCGGAGCTGAGCCACCCTGCGGCCTGTGGGCACCTTTCTGCATGAGAAGCAGCCTTTTTGTCTGTCCTGTACGTCACAGCGAGGAAACACTTGGGATCTCCTGAAAGAGGCAGAGAGCCTGACGTTTAGCCCTGCTGGGTTCCTGTCCCTCCCTTTCCACAGCTTCCTTGTCCATCTGGAAGAGCTTTTCCTTTCTAACCGGTTTTCAACCTCCTGGTCAGAGTGCCAGCCCGGATTAACTCAAGCCATCAGCCCCTTGCTGTCCTCACACAGCCTTTAGAAGTTGCACAGTGCTGAGCTCCTCTCCTCCCTGCCCACCCAGTCCTGGACTTTTGCTTCCTCTGCCCAGCCCTGCAGCCCACCTCACCCACAGGCCCAGCCTGTGACCTCCAGCCAAGGGAAACTTGATGGCCATAGAGCACAGCCCAGTTGGCCACCGAGCTCTGGGATGCAGCCTGCAGTGTCCTGTGCACTCTGGAGTGGGCTCATTTCTGGAGAGGAGGGGTCTGTGGGGCCTGCTAGGACAGTGGTCAGAGCGTCCTTCCCTGCCTCCTGAGGAGGGTGGCAAGGGGTTCAGAGTTTGGTCTTTAGAGAATTGAGGTGCAGTGGTTTAGGGTGATTTTGCTGACTAGATGAGAATTCAGATGAAGCTAACAACCACTCAAGAGCCCAGACTTAGCTGGTGTTCCAGTCCTGCCACCAGCCGCCCTGTGTTGTCTTGCAATACCACGGGGAGTGTGTGTGACTGCACTCATAGCCCACTTGTGTGTGTTCGCTGGCAGTGCTTTGAAGTTTACAAAACATGCAAGCTGCATTCTCACTGGCTAAGAGTGACTGGCTTCAGTGTACAGTGGCATTTAGGTGAGAGCACGTACACAGTGACGTCTCTTAGTCTGAAAAGACCTTTCTGTGGCCCTTTTGGGAGTTTGGATTTCTTGGTCACAGAGAATGTTAGCAGCATAAGGGTTCTTTTCAGTGTTCGCCAGCCCGGCTTTGCAACATGGAAGTGGACAAGGATTAGGTTGTGTGGAGCATGGTGGAGCCAGGCCTCGCTGGCGTGGAGGAATGTGGCTGGGTATGGGTCCCCACAGGGTCCCTCTGTTTCCCTCAGGGCTGCCTATCTCAGCAGCAGTCACCTTGCTCCCTGCTGCCCGCCCCCCAAACTGTCCCTCCTTCCCTCACAGAGCTGCCTGCACTCAACATGTATCTGGCCAGCCCTCTCTGCAGGTCCAAGCACCCCTACCAGCACCCTGGAGTCTCCTGGATCCCAAGGCAGTGTTCCCAGGGAGCCCTATGCTACCTCTCGCGAGGCTCAAGGAAAAGTGAAGCCACCCTCCACATCCTTCCCCCTCGACAGGGCATGTGTGTCCCCCCCCCCTGCAGGGCCCCAACCTTCCTGGGCCACCACCCAGCTCCGGGCCTACACAAGGCAAGAGTGAGATGGGCGCCTGGGCTTCTGCTGGCCCCAGGGGCCCATGGGAGATGGTCCAGGGCTTTCCCTACTATCTCTGTGGGGCCTGACATTGGCCTGACATTCCTGAGAGCCAGCAAACATCTGGCCAGGATGAGAAGAGAGAATGTACTTAGGAAACGCTCTCCAGGTCAGGGGATCCTGACAGGGGACACAGGGAGCTTTAAAAATTTGAGATAAAATTCGTGAATCATAGAACTGTCTAGCAAATTTATTAATGGGAAATAAATATTTAGGGAACATTCCTAACCTCTGAGGTTGACGTTAGCAGTGGACAGTAATTCTGCTGTGAATAAAGCTCCAGCGTTTCCACATCGCTGCATCCCCTCCTTGGCTAGAGCGGGTTGCAGATGGAGTGGCCCACGCCCCTGGGCCTGCAGCGCTGCCAAAGGCCGCCAGCCCTCAGGAGAGGCAGAAGCCCCGTCCCAGGAGCATTCAGCTGCTGCCACCCTTACCAGACGCCAAGGCCCTGCTTCCACAGCACAGCTTTTCTCTTCAAAGTCTCAGTTTTCTCTTTCAAAGTCCCAAGCTTCTTGGTTAAAATAAAATGAAACCACAATTCCTGGAGAAGTATAGTTCTCAGGCAGAAATAATAAAACTGCCCCATAAGCCAGAATGGAAGGAGGGAATTAGAAGTTTTTGTCGGTGAATCCTTGAAAAAAAAAGTAATTCAGACACCAAATGGACTTGTTTCCTTCAGGTGCTCTCCAGCAAGGCCTGAGCCCCTGGCGTCATCCGCCCATGTCAGGGCAGTGCCCCGGGGGGTGGGGGCCTTGGATGCTGGGCCCTGGTGGCAGAGCTGGGGGTGGGGTGCCCGGTGATTTTTGGATGGAGGTATCTTTGCACTTGGCTTTGAACTTGCCTGGAGGCCAGTTAGGCAGGTGTGCACCTTCTCTGCACAGCCCTGGAGAGGGAGGGTCTGGGGCCCAGGCCTGCACAAGGACCTCTTTGGTGCGCAGCTCTTGTGCTGCCTGTCACCAGGTTTGTTCAGTGTGGTGCCAGGTGGTGTCGGGCCTCACTTGGGTGCCATCCTCTAGCTGCCCCAGCCAGGTGCTCCCTCTCTGCTTCTGTCCTCCTCTGCCAGAGCTCTTCCTGATATCTGCTGCCATGTGAGGTCCCCAGGGTTTGTTTCTAAACTCACACTGCCATTTGTCTTGTATCCAAAACTTTCCTGAGCTGAAGACGTAGGATCTTGCCTGGTCCTCATGGCAGGAGTCAGCTTTGGCTCACACTCCGGAAGCTCTGCTTCTCTTTTGTGTAACAGTTTAAGAATAATGCCTCTGTCTAGTGTGTGGGTGTCACATGCAGACACACTTGCACTCGCACCAAAGCCGAGGTCGTTCTGACCTGGCCCATGGGGTTCACGGAGCCCAGATTCCTCACTGTGGCCAGATGAGGAAAAATGAGTTGACTTGTCCAGGCCCCAAAGCCTCGGACTCCAGAGGCAGCAGAGGCAAGGCTGCCTTAGCCCACACTTTCGAGAGTGGCGCTCACACACCGACAGACCCCAACTCACAGAACCCTGGGCTCGGGGCTCAAAGCCCACCCTGAGCAGCCTGCCTCAGCCGGCACCTGCTCCTTCCCTCCACATTTCCTTCTGCGTTTCTTCTTGTGGTTATTTATGGCCTTTGGACTTCTCAGGACCGTAATCCAGGAAAACCTGTTCAGCAGTTATGTCTAGCCCCAGTACCTTAGCCTGGTTTGTGTCTTTTATATCCTGTGTCACTGTCCATGATGACCCAGCTACTTCTACGAAGTGGGCTTTTTCGAGCGGTTAATAAAATAAGGACCGACTAAAAATATTTTTATCTCTTACACAAATCCTTTGTGAGGCTGCTTGGGAACATGGTGTCTGCTGGCCCTGTGGCCTGTGCTGTGCTCACCAGCCTGGTTTTGTCCCTCCAGGTGCTACAGGGAGCCCAGCTGATTGCAGTGGCCTCCTCAGACCCTGCCACGGCTGGTGTGGATGGGTCACCTCTCCAGGGCAGTGACATCCAAGTGCAGTATGTCCAGCTGGCGCCTGTGAGTGAGCACACGGCCACGGCACAGGTGAGTCCTTGGCCTCCACGCTCTCTCCGCTGTGGGGTTTCCGCCGTGGGTTTCCCCCGGAAGAGGTGTGTTGGGTCGGAAGGCAGGGTCATGTTTGAGGATTCTGTCCTGATAAGCCCCAGAAATGAGAAGGGGAGATACAGATCCTGGCCCAGTTCTACATTAAGGATTCATAAGGTGTCTGTAGAGACGCTTCTCTGTGATTCAGAAGCAAAACTTAAGGTGTCCTGGCTCCGTCTTGTTAAGGGTTGCGCCCATGGGGTCAGTAAGTGCCCTCCTGCAGGCCTGGTCTCAGGCTAGGGCCAGCTGTTGACAGGGATATGCTGCAGCAGTGATGGTCACCTGGGCAGACCCCAGCCAGCGGGTGGCAGCCTGCAGAGCACACCCTTTCCCTGTGTGTCAGGAGCCTGCTCAGCACAGCTGACCCAGAGCGCATAACACTGGCTTCCCGAGCACCGATGGCCTGGCTGCCTTTGGTGTGGGGAGCTCGAGGCACTGAAGTGACAGGGTCAGAAGAGAGGATATGGCTACCTTCTTGGTGTACCCTGGTACCGGGACACCAGGCGGCTGGTTGGTGTTCTCCAAGATGCACCATCAAGCTCTGCCAGCCGCTCTGTTTGGAACAACTGATTCTAGAGTTAGGGTGCCTCCTGTTTCTGCAGGAGTGGCTGCTGAGTCCATCCTGGGAGGGCCACGTGTGTCACTGAGAGGAAGCAGGGCTGTGGAGCCATTACCTGTGTCTTGAGTCACGTAGGGAAGCCTGGCTTTCAGGCTGGGGGTCAGCTTTGGCCTTGGTAGAGCACAGCAACTTCCTGTGTGCTGGCTGTGAGTGGAGCCTGAGCTGGCAGGTGGCCTCCCCTCCTTCAGGATCGTGCCCAGCTCTGCCTGCATCTCTCCCTGCCCTCTGGTACATTCTGGCTGCTGCCTGTGTCTGCTTCTGGCCTCTCAGTGGCCTGTGCTGAGCACCTGCATCTCTGTGCCCTTGGCTGTGAGCACAGGACAGAAGCCTCAGGTTTGCAGCTGAGGCTCTGTGCAGGGCATGTGCTCCTGAGCCCAGGAAGAGCAGGTCCTCCTTGGGATGCTTGCTGAGGAAGCGGCCTGGGGTGACCCAGCTGCCAGTGGATGGTCCAGGGGCCTGAGGGCCCAGGGCTGTGGTGGCTCATTGCTGGACCTCACTTTTGGTGAGGCCCACAGCACCAGATTTGACAATGTGGGGACCTGGGACACGGCCACAGACGAAGCAGGTTGTCAGCTTCTGGGGTGGCTGACCTGCTGGAGAGGAACTGTGGAAAGAAGAAAGGGGTGAGTGTAGCCCAGCGGGGAGGGCCGAGCCTGTGTGGCGTGGACCTGCCCTTGGCCTGTCCCCAGGGGCGGGTTGGGTGGCAGCCAGTGCCCACTGCAGGGCGGGCACCACAGCTGCAGCAGCGTCTCAGGCAGCTCATACCTTAGAGCTCACTTCCCCTTCCAGACACCGGGAACACTCCCTCTTACCTGGCCTCTCCACAGGCTTATTCCTGTCTATACTCCTGCCACACGCGGGGCCTTTTCAGACCGTGTAGATGATGCTGGTGCCAGGCCCTTTCTCCTACCCTGGCAGCCATTTCTTCTGTGTAAGGAAATAGTGTGTGGTGTCCTTTGTAAAGAGAAAAGTGCAGCTCAGAGTGTCTCAAGGGCTGTTGGGCGCCGGCCCCTGCAGGGACTTCTTTGGTGGCTCCTTGGCTTCTCCTGCACACCGCACCGGACTCCTGTAGCTACTCCTCAGGTGCACACAGGAGCCCCGGCTGCTGATTGCTGGGAGAAGGGTCAGTGACTTACCCTAAAGCCATTCCTCTTCCTTCCCTGGACCTGAAGAGAGCTGTGACGTGTGTTCCATGTCCTTCTCACATTTGTAGCTCCTGGGCCAGACTCTGGTCTGCAGGCCGGGGGCGGACAGCAGACCCTGAAAGGCTTCTCTGTGGCCCTGGGGCAGTGTTACAGGCTCGAGGTCGGCCAGTCCCACTTGCTGCCTCGCATGTGCTGGGTGAAGGCGAGAGTCTGCAGCAGTGGCCACAGCAACCCTGCTGAGGGGCAGGGTGTAGACAGGAAGGAGGACGCAGCTGTCCAGGGCCGTGAGAGCGCTCACGGAGCACCATGGCAGAGGTGCTGCTGCCCAGCCCCAGAGCTCTCGGGCTGGCCCTGCGTGCGTCCCACTTGGCTGCTTCGGAGCGGGCGGGTGGCCTGCAGGTGCGGGTGGAGTTTATCCAGAAAAGCCCCCATTGCCCCCTTGCAGACGGCTGAGACCCTGCAGCCCACCCTGCAGCCTGAGATGCAGCTGGAGCACGGGGCCATCCAGATCCAGTGAGGCGGGGCGGCTACCGCTGCCAGGACTGTGACACACCAGCGGGCCCAGCTGTGACCCTGGTCTCCACGCGCCCTGCTCACGCAGTTTGGGCTGAAGGTGACTGCGTGAATTCTGCGGCCGTGCGTCTGAAAGCCACCTCTGCCCGGGGACAGTGTCCCGGTCGTCTCCTCGAGGGAGGTCCCCTCGGTTTGAGCCATGCTGCCAGTGTCTGCAGGGGAATCATAGCACGGAGCGCATTAAGTACACTCGGAGAATCAAGAACTACAATATTTTGTTTAAACAGCTTTTTTAAATTTGCTATGGTGTTTATAACAAAAAAGAAAATTGGAAAAAAAACTGGAGTAGCAGAAGCCTTTCACTGTTGTGCTCTGTTCAGTGTCATGAAAATAGGTGTTTGCAAAAGAAAACTAATGATTTTGATGGAGATATTGCTTACCTACTTTTCTAGAGGGAAACGCCTCCACACACTGTAATTATGCATTTCTAATGGAATAAAGTGTATTTATGACCACAGAAGCCTCCATGCTATTTCATCTCGAGACATTTCACCTGGGGCCCCTGCTCCACCAGGCGGGAGGGCATTAGGGGATCACTGCTCAGGCCCCTCTGCCCTGATGGCAGGCGTTGTGGTTTGCAGGGGACGGTTGGAGCCTGCTCCCGGCTTAAGGGAGTTCTCGAAGGCAGAGCTGTGTCCGTGCAGCTCCAGGAAGCATGGTGTGGGCCCTCACAGGAAAGTGCTGTCCAGGGGCCTGGGCATCGCAGTGATCCGGAAGCCAGGGAAAGTGGTTCCACCCAGCAGGGCGAGAGCGTGTGAAGTACACGTGGCCACTGGCAGCTGACCTACTGCTCCCCACACTGTTTGGCAGTCAGGTCAGTGAGGTTTGCAAACGCCAATGAAATTGACTTCACCGACGGCCCTTGGTGGTTGATGCTTTTTCTGGGGTGAGCTCAGAGTAGATTCCAGAACTGCTGTGCCTCTGCCCTGCTCCACCCATCAGATTATTTGCTTAAAAAGGTGAAAGTTTTGGTATAGAAACAATATCTCAAAGTTCCTGAAAATAAATGAATGATGTTTGAAAAAATTAAAATGAAGCTGTTGCTTGCTAAAGATGTTTCTGGTGAGGGGAAGTTGGAACCTAACGGCAGGAATATGTGCCCGGGATCTGTAGGGCAAGGAGTTCAGACAAAGGGGAAATGGAGGCGGTGGAAGCGGTCTGTGTACCGTTGATTCCTACTGAGATTAAAACAGTAAAACAGTGGAAAGCATTACTGCTTTGCTTGCAACAGTCCGGAAGAGAGGCAAGTTGCTGCAAAGACCCTTATTGCCCTGGAGAAAAAGGCTCACAGAACCGTACAACATTAAGACTTCGCCAGTGCCTGGGACAGACATTTGGAAACAGTGAATAAAACCCGCGCGGATGTAGGGTCCCTGAACAAGGCCGTCAGCATCCTGGCCTTACCCTTGGCGGTGGGACTTTGGAGTTTTATCAGATTGGCCACAGGCCAACCCACAGTGTCACAGGACGAATTGTGTAGCCTAAATCCTCTGCCCAAACGGGATTCAGGAAAAAGTGAGAGAGTGGAAAAGATCACTGTGTGTTCAGAAATTAAGTAATGTACTTTTTGTTTTTTTGTTTTTTTTTTTGGTACTAGAATCAAACTCAGGACCTTGTGCTTGGCGGGAAGGTGCAGAACCACTGAGTTAAATCCCTGACCCAGTAATACACTTTTAATACATAGGTCAAAAAAGAAATTAAAATGACACCTGAAGGTATTTTTAATTGAATGACGAGTTTACATAACAAAAATTATGGAGTACCTCCCAAATTGTGCTTACAGAAAACTGTGAACACAACTGGAAGTTAATGAAACAGAGCAAAATGTAAATGCAACCAAGAGAAGTGGTTTGTCTCAGTTGCTTTTCTTGTTGCTGAGACAAAATATCCAAGACCCACAAGTTAAAGAAGGAAAGGTTTATTTCAGCTCACAGTGTGTAGGGGTTCCAGGCCATCGTCGGCTGGCTCCAAGACAGGGTAGCACAGGCAGAGGGGAAGCAGTGTGGGCAGAAGGCAGTGGGCAGCCTGCCTTCGCTCTCTCCCTTTATTTCCCATGCAAGCTGGGACTTCCCTTATCCACACGCATAATCCCAGTTCAAACTCTTCGTCCACATTCACACACCCTAATCCAGCCTCATTCCAAACTCTCCACCTATGAGCGCATGAGGCTCTGGGGGGACATCTGGCTCCAAGCTGTAATAGAACCTAAGCTGGTTCTTTGACAAGATTAACACAGTTGACAAAGACATGGTACAGCTAGTCGGGAAAGAGGGAGCAGGCACAGATTGCAGTGTGAGCGTCACTGCAGCCAGAGCCGAGGCTGTGCACCGGCTGGGAAGGGCGAGGAGGAAAACTCCATGGCTGCTGCAGAAGAAATGGGACAAGCAGCCCTGTCTTAGAATCTTACCTGCAATTCAACGTCTTGTCACAGTAGAGACTGGACCCAGCCCTTCCCTGGGGTAGGAAAGGACACCAAGGGGCTCTTGCAAACTCCTGCAGAACAACAAAGCTTTTCCATCTTGCTTTCTGAGACAGCACAACCTTTCCAGCACAGCCTGACCAGGATGTTTCTGAGAGAGGGGATGGGGAGAAAAAGCGGAAGACAGAGCAGCGTGTCCCGCGGACGTTCTCCCGAGAGTCTGGCAGAGCTTGCCTGTCCAGGACCGAGATAAGTAAATCAGCAGTGGCGAACCCGTGGCACACATTCCTCGGCACATGGAGCCCTTGGTCAGCACGCGAGCCACGTCACCTCTGTGAGCAAAGTCACACCTACATCAATCCCGCAGCCAAACACTCAAATGGCTTTCGGTTTGCAGTTCGGACATGCTGTCTATTTTGACATCACTGTGCTGATGATGATGTGACCAAGTTGGGTGAGTCCAGGAATGCAAGATTGGTGTCATAAGGAAATCTGTCGGCCAACCTCGCCACATTAGCAAAACCTTAGGGCCCTTTTAATACATGCAAATAATAATTTATAAAATTCAACAGCCATTCAGGATTTAGAGAACCTTTAGCAAGCTAGGAACAGAAAGGACTTTGTCCACCTGATGCACAGAATCCGCGGTGGCCTCCTTTACTGTCCTGTGAAGGGGCGGGTGGGAAGGCCCAGGAGCACCCAGCCGGCAGGCTGAGTTAAGACAAGGAGATCGGAGGGAGACTGTCAGCACGGCAAGTGCTGTGACGCTTTGGGAGGGAGCCCATGGCAGCCCAGGCAGCACCGTGAGTATACTGGGCAAGGTGCGGCCACTAGGCCGATACCCAGGGGCTGCCGGGTTTCCGGATACTGCCATTGATAAATGTTGTTAAATGTAGACTCTAAGGAGCTCCAAGTGTATAGAAATAAAGCTAACAAAAGATGCCTGGGGTAAATGGTGAGAACAAGGAAAACCTAAGGAAACAGGGATACAGTCTGTAGGAGAATTGGGTGTCTCGGTGCTGTAAAGACGCCAGCCCTTCTACAGGGCGGCTTCGCTGCGGTCTCCCGAGAGTCCAGCAGAGCTGTTTGTGGCAGTGCCTGTGCTTGTCCAGAACGGGAGCACGGAGGAGCAGGAGGTGGAGACGTCTCAGAGCCACTCAAGGCTTCCATGCCTTTGAGAGACAGAGCAGCGGAGTAGAACAGGAGCCTGAGCCAGCCACTGCGGTGGCGCCACAAGTCCTAGCAAGGCCGCTGTGTAACACTTGGAACCTTACAAGTTTACAGAAACGTGTCGTGGAGTCAGATTTGGAAAGGATCAAGCAAAACACGTAGATGGCGTGGAGAGACCTTTGACCTTGGGATTAGCAGCGGTGCCATCGTACTGAGGTGGGATGAGTTGCCTTTCCCCCAAGGGAAAAAGTGACCATCAAAAGGGACGAGGAAGCCGGGCGTGGTGGTGCACGCCTGTAATCCCAGCACTTGGGAGGCTGAGGCAGGAGGATCGCTGTGAGTTCGAGACCAGCCTGGACTACATAGTGAGTTCCAGGTCAGTCTCAACTACACAGTGAGACCCTGTCTCAAAAAGCCAA